TCCCACCACCCAGAGATACAGCCACTTTTAACATGTCTAGGGTCTAGCCTTCTAGGTTATTTTTTATGTAGCTTATGTATAGTGCACACATATATATCTAACATGCCATATTCTTAATATACATAATACATTTAATATCTAAGAAATCTATACTTATATATTTAACAGTTAAATGGGGCCTATTTTGGGCAGGTACTATTTCAAGCACTTTACAGATGTTACCTCATTTAATCCTTACAACATCCGTATTAGCTAGGTACAAATATTCCTATTTACAGATGAGGAAACTGAGGTACCAGACGGGTTAAGTGACTTGCCCGGGGTGGCACAGCTAGTAAGTATCAGAGGCAGGATTTGAAGGCAGACCTCTTGGCGTTAGTTTCTATGATCTTAATCACAATGTCATCTTGCTCCTCTCTCTCTAGATAAGTTTCTCTTTCTTAAAAATAAAAGTTCGCATCATATGGTGGGATCATATACTGGGATCAGGAACATATCCTGGGTCAGAAGCTGCTCTCTCCCACTGTTTCTAATGATTGTTGTATTAGTCTGTTTCTGTTCTTATAACAGAATTCCTGAAGCTGGGTAATTTGTAAAGAAACAGTATTTATTGCTTGCAGTTTCAGAGGCTGAGAAGTCCAAAGTCCAGGGACACATCTGATGAGGGCTTTGTTCTTGCTGGTGACTCTATTCAGCGAGTCAGGGTCACCTGGCAGATGGCGGAGCAAGAGAGAGACTAACCTCATTCACTCTTTTTTTTTTTTTTTTCCTTTTTGTCTTTTTTCGTGTCCAGCAACGGATCGCAACCCTAGGTGCTGCGCCCGTACCTCGCTCAGCCAGTGAGCGGCTGGTCTGTATGTGGGATCCAAACCCTCGGCGGGAGCGCCGCCGCGCTCCCAAGCGGCGCACTGTAGCAGTGCGCCACCAGGCCGGCCCCACTCTCCTTTTAAAAGTCACCAGAACCACTCCTTTTATTCCAAGAATAGATCAATCCGCTTACAAGGGCACAGTCCTCACGATCCAATCACCTCTCCAAGGCCCCACCTTTCAAGTACTATAACAGAATTCACCACCCTCTTAATTAACACTGTCACAGTGGGGACTAAGACTCAATGAGTTTGGGGGGACGTCCAATCTACAGCAATTGTGTAGTATTCCACAGTATGTATGCCAAGCTCCATTGTAGGACTGTTCCCGAATTTATTTAACCAGTTGCATGGGAGGAATTTTTTTCTTTTTTTCTTTTTTAAAGACGACCGGTAAGGGGATCTTAACCCTTGACTTGGTGTTGTCAGCACGACGCTCACCCAGTGAGCGAACCGGCCATCCCTATACGGGATCCAAACCCGTGGCCTTGGTGTTATCAACACCACACTCTCCCGAGTGAGCCACGGGCCGGTCCATAGGAAGAATTTTGATGGGTACAAGTGTCTGACGGGGAACTGCACGTGTGGTGAGGGAACAGCATGGTGGGCTGACTGGTGGCTCCAAATATATCCAGGTTCTAATCCCCAGAACCTTTGAGGGCTACCTTATGTGGTAAAGGGAATTTGTAGATGTGTTAGTGATTTTGAAATGGGGAGTTACCCAGGTGGGCCCTAAATAACATCACAAATGTCCTTAGAAGATGGAGGCAGAGGGAGACTGGGTGCAGAGAGGAGATGAGAGGACACGCGGAGGCTGGAGATGCGGGGAGGGGACCACGGGCCAAGGACACAGCTGCCTCCTGAAGCCAGAAGACACGAGGAACCCGATTCCCTCCTGAAGGAGGCAGCCCTGCAGACACCTTGGTTTCAGCCCAGGAACACTGAGTTTGGACTTCTGGCCTCCAGAACTGTAAGAGATTACATTTGTGTTGTTTTAAGTCACCAACTTTGTGGTCATTTGTAGCAGCAGCCCTAGGACACTAAAACAAGTGATCGGAGCAAGTGTAGTCAGGGAAGAGTGGTGGCTGCAGGGGGCTTGGTGACCTGGGTGAGTCCCCAGGTTTCCAGTCTGTCAGTTTCCTCATCTGTAAAATGAGGGGTGGGGACTGGGCTCTTGGGTTGGGGTACACTGATGACATGGCCACTCCCTGTCTCATGAGCTGCAGCAACTGCTGTGGGGAGATAATGGCCCTCCTGGGCCGCAGGGGCTGTGCTGACGGGCAATAGCCAATGACCATGAGAGCTCGTTTCCTTGTAGCT